TTGCCCTAGATGTCCCCTGAAAGCATGGTCCCCAGACCCTTACCGCTGCTACTCTATCTCTCAAAGTATTTGATTGTATTCAGGAAACTTCTTAGCTTTGGTTTAGTCCGGTTGTGCTGACTTCCCCTGTAGTGTGTGCTGTCTTTCCCTTCACCTAAGATGATTCTTATCTACTATCTACATAACTGGATTTTTTAAAGTGCTGTTAGCACCATGGTATTTTTTACAAGTTATGCATGGAGGAAGAAAGAATATAGTTGAACAATACCTAATGAATGTAACAAGGGCAGATGGTATGAATCTTTAATTACTTTCAGTGCAAAAATACCAGTTTTAAAAAATCCAGTTAATCTCTTTTCTTTATTGCAATGTTTATTGAAGACTTAACCACGTGCCTAATACTGAGGAACAAGTTGAAAAGGACATAGTCTCTGCAACTGAAGAGTTAGCGGTTTAATTGAGGAAGCAGATGCATAAATAAATGATTACAATTAAATATTACAAGTGCTAGGCTAGAGATAGGAGCAAAGTGTGAGGGTTCACAAAGGAAAGAGCAAGTTGTTAATATTATATATTTGAGCTGGTCATACTCAATAAGTAGGAGTTTGCCCAGGTGAGGAAATGAGGTGTCTGTGAAGAAGAAAAAAACAGCATGCGTAAAAGCACAGAGGTGTGGAAGAGCATTATATACTTGATAAGCAGTGAATTCAGCACAGAATAATTTGAATAAAGCAGGATGCCTACAAAGTGTCGGGAATAATGAGAGATAAGACAAAGAAGAGTGCTTGGATATTATTTTTATTATATACATGTTCAGAAATAGAAAATCCAGGACTGGTACAGTGGCTCTACAATGTAACCAGTATCCCAGGCCCCTTGTATATTGATAATTCACCATCCTTAGCTTTCAGTTTCATCTGTATGCTTATTGCTTCCTGGTTAGTTTATCTTCAGCTTCACATTCTAGAAAGGGACAGCACTTGTATCAGGAAAGCGCAGATGTTCCCAGAAATTCTTAGAAGACTTAAGCCAGACCATGTCACATGGTCTTTCTTAGCTGCAAGAGAATCTGGGAAGACATGTATATTATTTGGGTACTGTATTAGTTTCCTAGGGCTGCCATAACAAAATACCACAAAGTAGGTGGCTTTGAACAAGAGAGATTTATTATCTCACGGTTTTAGCAGCTAGTACAAATTCAGCGTGTCAGCAGAGCCGTGTTCTCTATGAAGACTCTAAGGGAAGATCCTTTCTTGTCTCTCTCAGCTTCTGGTAGCTCCAGGCATTCCTTGGTTTGTAGCTATAGCATAACTTCAGTGTCTGCCTCCACCTCACGTGTCTGTCTGGGTCTCTTCTCTTACTTCATAAGGACACCACTCAGACGGGATTCGGATCCACTCTACTTCAGTATGACCTCATGTTAACTGATAACATCATCAGAGACCCTATTTCCAAACAAGGTTATGTTCACAGATACCAGGGGTTAGGACTTCAGTATATCTTTATTCAGCTCATAGCAAGTACAGTGTCTGCCACAGCAAGGCCAAGGAAGCTTGGATTTTATTCTAGTGGTAGTAAGGAGCCTACCTTCAAGGGAATAAAAAATAGAACATATACAGAAAGTAATATTTTAGGAAAATTAATTTGGTATTGGTATGCAGGGAGCTTAGCTGTTCAGAAACAAAAGGTTTGGAACCCAGTTACGGTTCAGTTGTCTTTATATGAATGAAGATGCTTAGAGCAAAAATAAAAAGAAAATGAATATTAAGAGACTTTGTAAAGGGAGAATCAGTACTACCTGATGATACTGAACATGTGGATTGAGGGAATAAAAGGGGCCATAGTAGTACTCTAGATGACTAGGGAAATAGTGCTAATGTTTTATTATATTCATTGATTCTGAGTCACAATTTTTTATATTATCTTTGAAATTCAGATGTGTCTTACAGTTGATGATCTCTTAAAATTACTTTCTCTTAAAAAAAAAGTTGCCATCAAGTTGACTCCGACTCATGGCAACCCCTTGTCTCCTAGTAGAAGCATGCTCCACAGGGTTTTCAGAAGTAGATCACTAGGCCTTTCTTCTGAGCCACTTCTGGGTGGATTCGTACCTCCAACCTTAGAGCTAGCAGCTAAGCACTCTAACCATTTGTATTACCCAGGGACTCCTTTTTCTTTCTTACTGGTACAAAAAATAATGATAATATAATAGCTAGCATTTAGAGTCTATTAAATACAGTAAATGCAATATGAAAATCAGTGAAAGGAGATGGTAACTCAGTTTTAAGAATAAGTCAGCAGGATCAATTCTGTATGAATTACCCTTCAATCAAGTAATACCATGCCACAAAATCATTGAAAAGGCAGGATTGGGGAGATCAAGACAAAAATTACCAATGTGGGATTTTTTTTTTTTTTTAAACAGTAACACATTAGATCTCAACAGAAAATATATTTATTTATTTTTACTTATTTATTTGTGCATGCCAGGAGCCCTGGTGGCACAAGTGTTTAGTGCTCAGCTGCTAACTGAAAGGTCAGTGGTTCAAAGCCACCAACAACTCCACGGGAGAAAAGACCTGGCAGTCTGCTCCCATAAAGATTACAGCCTAGGAAACCCTATGAGACAGGCCTACTCTGTCCTGCAGGGCCGCTATGAGTCAGAATGAACTCGACAACACACAACAACAACATAAATATGCCCAAATCAGAAGCCTGATCTTTGAAAAGTATCTATACTCAGCGTTCAGAAGGGAGAGAAGAAAAGCCAACAAATAATAATAGGATTTCTCGGAGAACCAGGAAGGCCGTATTAGTTTTGTTAATTTCTTGTGTTTTGACCATGAATTACCCACTAAAGATCATATTCTTGAATATGGATCAAGATACTTTTGAGGAATTTAAGTGACCACACATCCAATAAAATATCTGATGTCAGGAGATCATAGCTATTTGTTGATATGACCAAGTTTTTGTTAAATTACTAGAGACTTTAATCCTGAGTATGCCTTAATACTTTCTAAATAACAGACTGTTTAATGAATCGTTACTGTTTTAATCATTTGTCTTAGAAACTTAAATATTAATCTAACTAAATATCTTGTAAATTAGACATGTGAAGTAGTCGTTGTTTACCACTCTCAAGTATTTCTCATCAGTTCAGATTTTGCCTTTAAGTTTTTGTTAATATGATAAAGTAGAGAAGTAAGGAACATAAGTAGAATTTGTCTCCGATGTATACTATTTAGAAGTGTGATTTTATATAAAGAAGACATAGGAGCAACTTCTGTGCTTTACTACCATATACTCTAATAATCCAAATGGGGTTTTTCCCCCTTGCTTTCATATGTAGTTAGTAGCCACTCTCCACAAACCTGTCTTAACTCCAAATCTACACTCTAAAAAAAGCCATACAGAAAAAAAATTCCTAGGATATAGTAGGCAGTCAGTAAATGTGGGAGAAAGGGAAGTTGTTCGTGGTATTGTTTCCATACTGTATACAGAGTATTTACTAATTTATTAAAGAAGTTTATCCTTCTGGGGACTAAGAATATAATATTTGATATATTCATTATCATGAAATTCTAAAATAACAATAATATGATTACCTATGAATCACATTATTTATTTATAAGATTTTAAGTTGCCTATGTTGCCAGTTGCCCAGCAAAAAGTTGTAAATTCAGACACCCTCAACTTAGAGCAAATAGAAGCAATAAATACAGCAAATTTAGAAGGGAACAAAGACTGCTAAACTTAGGTTAGATCTTAGTTACTCAAAAAGATGAAGCCGTCCATTTCTGGTATAGTTTAAGGGAAAAAAATTTTAAGTGAGAAGGTCTTCATGGTATGGCATTATTATTTATCTTATTCGATTGCGTAGGTACACCAAAAACCATGAATTAGTTCTAGATAATCTGTAGTTTATCTAGATTATCAAAGGTACTTCATTTTTTCTAGACTCTAAAACTTCTGCCGTTTAAAAAAAAGGTGATTGTTATGGGGACAGTTAAGGTGTTAAGAAATAGTTGA